TTTACAGTATATTCATCGCTTCATGTTTACATATCTATATATATATATTTATATTCAGACTTCTGCAATGTCTGGTGATGTTTTAAACCAGTAGACTACCCCCCCCCCCCTCTTGTAAACTTGTAGCTTACAGCTGTGGGCGGATGAAGATGATGTGCTGGGCATTCTCCCACCTGCTGCTCAAAACAAAATCCCGCGTCAACGTCCTTTTTTTTTTTGTTTCTTGGGTTTTTGCATTGCAGTCAAAGCGGGCTCACCGCACATTCACTTGGTTGAGTTTGAAGCGGTTCGTGTTTGCTGGCTCAAAGACTGGCACGGGTCACGGTGGTCTCTGTGTTGCTTTGCCACGCTCGGGTGTGGTGGGGGCGGCATTGTGACGAGCGCAGCCGAGCCGTGCGCAGGCGTCCTCGGAAGTCGAACGAAGTCATTTTGCCTCAACGATTTTTGGCAGGTAGAAGTCGAATTCCGCAATCATTTTTAACGATTGAACTTCTTGTTGCTGCCATTTCTGGGAAAACAGGAAGCATTGTCTTCCAGCGCCACGTAGCCTTATAAAAATTCACGTATAAATATTCAGTGAGTAATCTCCAGCAGCTGCTTGGCCAATAACTCGGATGACCTTTTCTACGTACCGAATATTTTACTATTACCTTCAACTGCATTCTAAAGTAATATGAAACCTACCTTAGTGGTACAGTCATGATGATGGATAAACAACCCCCCCACCCCCTCAAACTTATTGCTACACTTTACCGTTTTTATTTATTTTTAAAAATTGGATTACATTAGGATTTGAACCATAAGTCAGCATTTTTCAAAGCGGGGCAGGAGAGGAGGAGGGGGGGGGGTTCTCCAACCTGTTTCACTTCTGTGTGAGCTGTTTCTCAAGTAAAATAAAAACAGGCAGAAAGCACTCCTGTTTAATTTGAAAGGTTCAAATAAATGTCAGGGCTGTTTACTTGGGAACATTTTCAACAAGAAAAAAAAAGTAAGCGCTTTGAATGGAAGATGGAATTTTTTTTTTCTCGATTTGCTTTATTTTGCCATCTATGGGTGGCCACAAAACTAGAGCACTTTGTGCTCCAGTGCCTCAATGGCGCAAAATGAAACTACTCGCCTCTTCATTAGCCTCCTGGCAGCCATGTGGTATATTCAAATATTTTTGGACTTTTTTTTTTGTCCGTCCTCACAAGCCATCGGGGTACTCTTACCAGTCGCTTGGGAATGTTGGGAGACCCCTGTGCTAAAAAAAATGTGCTTCATGCCAAGAACTCTCACCGATTAACTACTGGAAGCCATTTTGCCGCCTACCCATTTTCCTTTATGCCTAATTTTGACTTCGTCACAGGTGCCTCGCTCGCTGCTTCGATAGTGACTCGCTGCGCTCGCACGTTTGATAATGCCCACTTTTATCCAAAGCGTCATGAGTGAGTATACGTATATTTTCAAAGCTCAAAAGACATGAGATGTATACCAACCGCGGACATGCATTGACGACTCAGCCGCGAACGGATACGGATCCGGTTGGAGTTTTTGACATCATCATAGTGCGCTGGCTGCTTGCAGAGAAATGCGCGCGATTTCTATTCTTTGAAATTTTGCTGAGAGCACAGTGTTGGATGGCAGGTTCTGCAGGTGGCAAGGCACACCCTGACACGGTGACGGCCTAGACGCTACATGCACGTTGAACTGAATGCAGGAGAAGAGAGCACGAGACATATTCGTTTTGGTTCAAGTTTCAAACAGAAGTTTGTGTGTGTGTGTGTGTGTGTGTGTGTGTGCGTGTGTGTGTGTGTGCGTGTGTGTGTGTGTCTGTGCGCGCCACACACACACAAGCATAAAAAGATATGTTTGGAATAGAGTCGAAGAGAATTGTCCTTTTCCTCGAAAATACATCAGACTGATTTTTCGTCCAAAGCCTGCTACTGAGATGTGGCTTTTTGCATTTGCAGACCCTATGTACAGTATCCTGTGCATTCTCTCACACACACACACACACACACACACACACACACACACACACACACACACACACACACACACACGTAACCTTTTAGCAAGGCTGTATACCGTGTGTCAGCATATCAGAAAAAGGAATGCCTGCAGTTTTTTTTTTGTTTTTTGGGAGCTGCCAGATTTGCAATTCATCCCGAGCAGAGCAATGTTTCAAACTCCAGCTAAAATCCCCCCCCTCCCGCCCCCAAAATAAATAAAAATGACAGCTCAACATCTTCAGTAGCTGTTCTATATACAGACACACATATATCAAATATGTGCATATTAAGTACATATGTATTTGCTTATGATTAATATCTGTTGATCCATATACGCTGCATATATGAATACATTTTCTTGAATGCTCGCTATACGTATATAGATATATGTACTGCAAATATAAACAAGTTCAGATAGATCAAAGGTTTCGGATGTTACTCTAGCTATGAGGTTAGGATGTTAAGTTAAAAAAGATAAGGCTGTGATGCGGAGCAGCCCCCCTCCCATGCACTCTCGTCCCTCCCAAGACAAAACGAGAAAAAAAATAGATGATGATAATAATAATAATAATAATAATAAATAAACATTATGAATGATTGTAAACTAACAAAGTGAGAGACCCCATTTGGTCATCTGAAATAGTTTTGCCTATATTCCAAAAGCATATTGGCACTATATATATATATATATATGGGAAATGTACACTTCTTTTTCAAACAACTCTCGAGCCAGTTGACACTGGCCGATAGAAGAGCTGCAGTGGTCCAAGTATATTCGAGCTACAAGTCCTCAGCGATAAAAACGTTTGGTCTTTTGGTCCCTAAAACAACTAAGGAATGACAGGTAAGACTCCCTCGGAGAACCGTTGCTGTGGTTCTCCTCGGCAAAGGTATCCCCTGGAAACGGACAGGCACTCCGAAGCTAAAGACAAGTCATCCCGAAATCCAAGCCAATTTCTGTCCCGATCACATCGTATTCCCGATTTACGCGCTCTCCCTTCTGGAATTTGTTCCTTTGTCTCTTGAGCCAAAAGGCCCCAAAACACAAACCAGACCAAAAATATCTCCTTCAGCAATCTTCTATTCAGTTTTTAAAAAGTTTATCATGTTCTCGTTGGACTTTTGGACAGCCGTTGTTCCCTTGAAGAGTCCATCAGGGTTGGTCATTGAAAGGGTTTTTCAGTCTTTTCCTTTTATTTTATTTTTTTGTCTCGCCATTGTTCAAGTAAAAGTTTTCGTGGTCCACAAAAGGTAGCTGTCAATCAAGCAGGGTTCTGAGTGGAAGGATCTGTTTGTGTGTGCGTGTGTGTTATGTGTATATTTTTATATACTGTACTGTATGTGCAGAAAAAAAGGTCCGGGGGCAAACCAAGGTGGTCCAAATTCTCACTGGGTTCCAAAGTTTTTCGTACATCCAAAAAGAAGGTTCCCATGACTCTGCCAATAGCGTTCTCTCTGCCTCGATGTCCTCTCCCTTTCTGTAGCAGCCTCAGTGTTCCGGACGTCGAGTTTGCATTCTACAGCGGGTAGCGAATAATCAACATATAATTCAGCTCAACAAAACCTGGAAAACACAACAGGCAGAACATTTTTTTCGTGATGGTAATATGCGCTGATCTTGAGAATAATTTCATTTCAGAGTGAGCATTTCGACTGAAAACAGATGTGTACGCCCCCAGCGAGGTGCTAATTTTGTGCGTGTTGTCATCATGTGTCGTACAGTATAGATCAGGGGTGTCAAACTCATTTTTGTCCCGGGCCACTTTGGAGTTACGTCTTCCCTCGGAAGGGCCGCGACAACAGAAAGCGAATAAACGTTTCATCATCACATTGCAAAAAAAAAAAAAAAAAAAAAAAAGATGGCTTACTAAATTTGAAATCAGGCTACTATTTGTTTATTGTTAAATGATTACAAAATCTCAACATTATTTATTTACATGATAATTTAACATTTTGGTACAGATATTAGCAAGCTTTGCTTTATCGGGCCACATAAAACGACATGGCGGGCTGAATCTGGCCCCCGGGCCTTGAGTTTGACACAAGTGGTATAGCTCATTTTCAAGGATAAAGTGGACACTTGTGAAAAGCAAATGATACCCCCAGAGTTTGAATTTGCTTCTGTTTGGGGGGGAGGGTCTCGTGCTTTTGGACATGTTCATCGTGAAATTTCAGAATGAATGAAAACAAACAAACAAACAAAAAAAGCTTGATATGTTTGTTGAAATGTCAACATCTTGAGAAACTGTGTGTGCGGGATATTTTTGCGGCCGGGAAGGAATGGCGACACGCTCATATGAATGTGGCCTAGTTTTCCTGCGGCGCTTTCACTTGGGGACGCGGTCTTTATATGGATCAGTTAGTTTTGTGAGCGGGTGATAAGTTGCCCTTGAATTAAGTCATCAGCGGTGAATGAACGACACGGTCTGAACTCTCCATCATGCAGATGAAGGGAGGAGACAAAGAGGAACGGCACAATTACCCGCCTTCGACGTAATAAATGCCTTCCCCTTTGGAGGCAATTCCTTCTCTCCGCAACATGCTGACGCATTGACCCGCTCTCGCTTACCAACAGCGTTTTACACACCGGGGGGGCACTCGGCGAAATGTTGTTGCATCAAATGTCATAAAAGACTCTGCCATTCATCCAAATGGACATTTGAGAGATTTGAAATTATTCAGGGGAGCTCATTTATTGCTCGTAAAGTCATTTGGTTGTCGACACGCCGGGCTTATTACGCGTCACTCTTCGTGCGGACATTGGGTACGCTTGACAATGAATGTAAAAAAAAACTTTGTATCATGTATCTGGATGGAAGAATTGAATCCGAGTGATTCGTAGTAAGATTATACGGCTAGGACAGTGATGTCAAACTAATTTTTGTCGAGAGCCACATTGTAGTTATGGTTTCCCTTGGAGGGCTGTTATGACTGAATTTTGGGAAACCATATAAATGTTTGATCACTTCCAAATATTACAGACACAGCGCACAACAAATTGATGGATAGCTCGTTTTAAAATCAGAAGTCAATAATAATGACTTGTTCAAACACGGTTTACATTAACGTAATAAGTAGTTTGGTAACCAGAATTGCAATATCATATGTTTACGATGGGTTACATATGACAAATTGAAATTTTGGTTCAGACTTGAGCAAGCATCATGGAACTTGACATGCTTGATTTGCCTTCGCGGGCCGCATACAATGATGTTGCGGGCCAGATCTGGCCCCCGGGCCTCAACTTTGACACCTGTGGGCGAGGAGGCATTTTTGCTCTTTCCACATTGTTGTTTTGTTGACACGTCTTTGGGGCACAGTCACACTGGAACAAAAAAAAAAACCTTCCGCAAAGTTGGCACCAAAGAACCGCCAAACATGCTCAATAATTAAGATTGGAGGGAGAATTGATTGGTCACGTTCCACTCCTGCCACAGAAATGGGATGCGTCTCAATACTTTTGCCCCGCATCGTGTATGCATACTCCTGCCAGACGTAGCTTATCGGGGAACACCTGTAGCTTTGTAGTCCAAACGGACGCCGGTGAAATTAACATGTAAAAACGTTGACTTGAACTCGCCGCCATGCCACATCGCTGTTCTTTACAAGCAATTTGCAGATGATCCGCTCTTTTTATGGGGCATCCGCCAGTGTTTTATGACATTTCAGAAAGGTTAGTGCAACCACATCGGGCACTTTCATAAAACGGGCGTGCCATTTGAGCATCCGTCAATACAACGTGCGTCGGCCCGAGTATTGCTCGGTTTAATCGCCCAAAGGACTTGCGTGGCCGCAAACGTTCCCCCGGCGCGCTCGAGGTCTGACCTGTCTCCCCCCCTGTGTGCGACAGCTACCCCGGCCACCGTAGATGGCAGCGGCTGGCTGGGGCCGGGGCTAGTAGGGGCGGTTTGCGTCCTTTGGCCTCTTCAGCTGCACCTTGAGTCTTTTCATGCCGATCTGGAAGCCGTTCATGGACTGGATGGCAGCTTGGGCACTGCCCGGGTTATCGAAGCTGACAAAGCCTACGGAAAGGGTCAATCAAGAAGAGATGGGCGCGGGTTAGCCGGACGTTGGACTTGCCAAAAAAAAGTGTGAGTATGAGATTCATTCATGAAACGCTTGAATTGGAAAGTAGCTGTAGGAAGGCATCTGTGCACGTTACGACAGATCAACACAAGTTTTCCCGTAATGCTACGAGGAGTGAAATATATTACAAGGATATCAGAACAAGAACAACAACAAAAGCAACAACGGGAATCACAATAATTAGAGAGGAGCATGCAAGCAAAAATCACAATGTGAAATGATGGCGTTTGCACTCAAAACCAAAATGTCGACACAGTTGTGCTGTCATTTTTTTTCTTTTGGGGAGGGGGGGCGGGGGGAAGGGGGCTTCCTGTTCTGGAAAAATCTCAAACTCCGAGCTCCATGTTCACACTTGGACGCGTCATTAGGTACACGCATACAATCTCGGTGAGAGCCAATCCAGGAGCTGTGTGCAAACATTTCTCTTCCACAAAGGCAATAACGCTCAAGTATTTCTTTTTTTTTTTTTTTCCCCCTATCAAGTGGCTAAATAAGGTCATCAGAATCTTCGAAGCACTTCTCAGGATGATGCAAGTGCAGTTCCTCACTGCTGCAAACGACAACAAGAGCCTACAAAAGGAACATTCATCGTCTTTGTCAAGGAAGAATGTTTGACAGCATTTTTTTTTTTTTTTTTTGGAACGGATGTCATTCGAGTGCGCACGTGTACCCGATGATGGCGCGCATTAGTGTATGCTCATTAGGCACTGATGTGCTCATTCAAGTGTTTCCTTGGCAAATCTCTCTTCAGTTACTATCCAATGCAAATTCATAATCATAACGTTTTTTTTTTTTTTTAATTCTAACTGCCAAAACAGCGGCCAAGTTGCATTTGCCGTCCATCACCGAGTAAGCCGGAGTTGAATCATTTCACTTTTTCATTTTTTTTTTTTTCCATTTGGTTTGAAACAGAGGGAGGTGCAGGGAGGTTAGCAAGGGGCTGCAGTAAAGAAGGTGATTAGTAAAAAAAAGAAGAATCAGAATAAATAATCAATCATCTTCTGGTTCTGTTAATTTTTACCCACCAAAGCATTTACTTTGGTTTGTCGCTCGATCCACAAACACTTTGGAGGAGATGACATTACCGAATGGCAGGAACATCTGCATCAGTTCGCCATCCCCAAACTCCTGAGGGAGGTGGTAGATGAACAGGTTGCAACCCTCTGGCCCTGCGCATGGCAGACAGAGACACAGAGACAGAGAAACGTAGGGAGAAGCACCCAGTGAGAGCGGGCAAGAAGCGAGATTTGAGATTAGACATCGACTGGACACTTCATTAGGCACGTCTCGTGAGGAAAAAATCCAATACAAGTGTTTCATAAACAGGCGGGTGTGCTGTGAGATATTTCAAATGCAAAATGTGCGCCTTGGGCCAAGAAAGGTTAGGGAAAACTTAAATGAGTAATATATCAAACAGCGACCTATTTCTTCCCCCGCCCTCCATGGGACTGTCTTGTTTTGTTTGTATTCCACAAGAGGGCAGCAAGGCCACAGTTCTGTGTCATCTTGCTCCCGAGTTGCAGCAAGTGAACACTTGTAGGATGATAGTATAGTCAGTCAACTTACAGCCTATAATCACCTCATTTTTTTTTTCAAATGTCAAGAAGTTTCATACATGCATAAACACAATCTGACCTCTGCATATCACGCCTCACTGTGAACACAGTCGCACACACACACACACACACACACACACACACACACACACACACACACACACACACACACACCTGATGTCACAATTGCTCACATACTGTATTGCCCACGTCGGTGGGGGATATCAAATCTGTGGCTTTTCAGTTCCCAGCCACAACTGACATACGTCTCCAACAAATACTGTGATGAATCCCCCCTGCTCTTAAATACGTAGATCTTGTATGTATAGGAGCAACGCGACAATATTGTCCGCAAATGTGTATGAGTCAAGTGCGTCGAGTAGCGGTATCAGACGTTCACGACTAAGTATTTGACGAGGAAATTAGGTTTTACCTTCTCGTTGCTGCTGTGGGATGATGGTTGGAGGGTGGGGGAAGGCCTGGCTGATCTGGCCGTATGCAGCGGGATAGGCTGCTGAGGCACACACACGCACACACACAAGACGCACACGCGCCGATCAGATAACAGTCGCGACGAGAGCACGTTGCGCACACACACACACACACACACACACACACACACACACACACACACACACACACACACACACACACAGATGATATACACTGGGGCACGGTCGGCAATCGATCAGATAACAGGCAATAGAGTGTACATGTTTCACTCTCACACACACGTGCTATAAAAAGCAGAGACTAAATTGATGCTGTACGGGCGTGGAACTTTTGCTGACACGGTGATTTTTTTTTTTTTTTAAATGCTTCTGCAAACAAAGAAAAAAAAATCTTGATCTACTTCCCGTCTTCCCTCCGTTTTTACGCACGCGCACTCACGCGAAGCTCACGTGATGCACACACCTGCATACTGCTGGACTCCCGTGTAAGCTTGCTGGAGCGGATCAGCCGCAGTGGGACTTTGAGCTGATCCAGAAGAGAACACGAAGAGATGAAGAAGGAGGCGGATGGATGGATGGTTGGATGGATGGATGGATGGATGGTGAGAGAAGTGGGCGTGCACCAGGGTTAGAGAATAAGAGCAACGATACAAAGCAGCAATGAGACGTAGCCGGAATGTCGATGGAGGGGAGGCGAAGAGGACACAGAGGAAGGCGAGAGTGATATATAATAACAGTGAGGGTGAGGGTGGGTGGGTGGGGGTTGGGGGGTCATAACATGAAGAAACGGAGGGAAGAGACAAAAGAGGCAAAGAGGTTAGTTCGCAGTGTGAGGTGCTGATCTCTCCCAATGTGCGCGGGCTTAATTGTTTCCGCAAAAGAAGGAAAAGTTGACAGACGTTTGGAAAGAACGCGTCTTCAAGCCATCATTTTCTCATCGTTTCAGAAAAATAAAAAACAAGCGGTACCAGAATCTGATAAGAGCATCTTATTAATGCAGTAAAATGCTTAAACAGTACAAGTATGCAAACTGTACGGCGCTGGAAAATATTAAGGAAACAAAATATTTTTTTTTCTTTTGGTATTTGGACCATACAGTACTGTATATGTACACACACACATCCACAAAAAATATGCGTCGACTGAATGTGGATCACTCTGTTTTAAAGTCAGCGTACGGTTTCACTTGGCAGCTATCGATTACTGACACGTATAAGAAGAGCTGTCGGAGAAAGAAAATTGAAAACTCACATGAAAGGCAAATTATTAACAAGTTATACAGATGCGAAAAAACACCGCAGAGCAAAGTCATACACCACACACTGCTCGGGACACTCAAGGACGAAGTTGTGGGGAAGATAAAGCGGCGGATGAGAATAAGAGCGTTACCTTCGGATAGAGAGGAGAGAAAGCAGCCACCCTGAACTCCGAAACAACTCCTTGGAGCTACACCCAGGCCATTTTTCTCAGAGTCTTCCCTAAAAACCACTTCTTGCAACACTAGGGGGTGAAAAAACAAAAACAACAACAACAACCCAATTGAATAGTTTCATTCCTCGTCTTGAACAAACAACAACGAGGTGAGGTACAAAGAACAACATGCGGCACAAAATGAATCGTTTTGGTTCCAGTGTGCCATGCGCTCCTTTACGCGCCGCGCATCTCCTCATTCTTTCCACGTTCAGCTTCGGCCTCTGAATGCGCTTCTCGCATACCGTTATTACGTAAGCCTGTTGAACGCTCGTTCACCTGTTGCGACGAATGTGTTTTGGATCTGAGTAAATAGAAATTGTGGCTCAACGCAGCGGCACACGTGTCGCTGATCAGCATTATTTTATTAACACATTCGGAGAGCAATGAAAGCGCAATTCTTTTTTCTTTCCATGTTTGAGAGTGTGGTCCCTGAAGATTTATTATTCATGACAGCCTTCTTTTTTTTTTTTTTTTTAATTCTTGAAAATTATTAAAATAACATATGGCCTTGATATCTCCCTTAACTGATGTTAAATTGTGCAACGGTATTGGCTGCAGAACACATTTTCCTGATATTAACCCTTTGAGGGACAGCGATGACTACAGTGGACAGCTTATCATGTTATCATTATTGGTGCATGAAAGGGGAGATTAGAATCATTTGGATCCACACGGTTTGTGTTTAAGACACGAGTAGGATTTTGTGCTCATCGACTCTATATAGTAAAATAATTAAAAAGCAATTTTTTTTTTTTTTGCGGGTAATTATTCATGAAAGTAATGAAAATAAGGTGCCTGAAACGCAACTCACTAACTGCAGTGAAATAATGGCAAATATATCGTCCGCTGTGTGTACATTGCCATTCTCTGCAATAAATGGACCCCCCCCCCACCCCCCTAGTACAATTGCATCATAGCTCATCATAATGGTGTACTTAATGCACAAAGACCAAACTTCCTATACCTTTGAGACTGGTTGCTGGTCTCCCAAAGAAAACAAATATCCTCTATTTAGTAGAAACAATAACTTTTGGAACTATTTTCGATTTTTTTTTTTTTTAAATTAATCAGTGTTGCAGTATAGAATAGCCAGGACTACTTCCATAGCCACTTAGAAATTGTCAAAATTATTGCCTGCTTCAAGTAAATTGTATCCCCCCCTCCCACCATCCCGCCCAATAATGTGCTTACTTCAGTAAGTCTACATTGTAGCTAACCGTAAGAATGTTGAGAGCATATAATTGGACTTGTTTTTTTTACTTGTTGTTAGAATGATGGCTTGAGATACAGCAAGTAATGCGCTAAATCAGGCAACTTCACTTCCTTCACAACAAGTCCCACCATCAAGACCAACATTCAGAATATGAACATTAGCACTGTGCTCTAAAAAAATAATATAGATCTATTTTTGTCGATACAAGGTGGTTTCAGTCCGGAATTACCAGGGTAATGGTGGATGCCGTTGGTGAAGACGGCCTCTGCGGGTGGCTGTCCGTTGGCTTGAGGAGGCGGCATGCCAGTAAAACCATTGACACTAATGGGGGAAGGGATGCTGGTCACCGTGGGGGCGCTGATGCCTGGAGGAGTGCTACCGCCTGCAACCGGGAAAGTGGAAAATCAAAGATGGGTAACAGTGAAAAGTAATTGTCTGTATTCCCCCCCCACCCCACCCCCCCTCCGAGACATGATAGAAAGTTTGACTTTGACTGGCCACCAAGTAATTCTTGCAAATGTCAGAGGGGGGGCGGTCCAGTGCTCCAGTAAAGACATTAAATGTCAAGGCTGATTTCCTATCGCCCTATAATCCTTTTGTGTGATACAAGTGGATGCAGACCTTCGATGCACAGTTGATGCTAACACTCACTAACACGACATTTGTGATATATTCAAGCATTGTAGGAATCTCACAAAAAGGTGCCGTCTTGAAGCGCGTCCCTCGAAATCCCGAAGGAGGCACGTCGGACCTGGCGACTTATTATTCGCGACACTCTGGATTTTTTTTAAAGCAGGTCACATTTTTAGCTGCGATGGATGAAATTCTTTTACCGCTGTTACCTGACGTGGGCGTGAGCGGCGCTCCGGGGAGGCCGTTGATGGTGGCCATGTGCTGCATCTGGGCAGCAGCGAAGGCGGCCATGGGACTGAGGTAGCCCCCCTGACCTACGGATGCCATCAACGCGGCCTGCTGCTGCACCTGCAGGGAGGAGGAGACCACAATTCAAAGGACCTTCGAATCGGTTCAGAAGTGTGAGAAAGTGGCAACGGTTGTCAAGAGACAGCCAACCTCAGTACGGCGCGATAGGAATTTAATGTCTGGTTATAAAAGAGTCGATTGTATTATTTTCGTAAGCGGCTACTTGTCGTGTACAGCATGTTGTTATCAGTGGGAAATGACCATTAAAATACAAAACGGTTCAAAAAAATAACGTAACACAGTCACAATAAAATTAGATCTCTACACATATTAACATTACATCCTAAAAAACAAACGACAGTGTCTTAAAATGTTTTTCCTTAGCTTTATAGTGTGCTCACAGTGCGCAAAACCACAACCTCATATACTGTTAGTAAAGCCCCCCCAAATCCTAACCTGGACAGCACATAATTTCTACTTTATTTTGACTACACGGGCCTCTCAGAGACGATGGATGGGCCAGATATTGCCCGCGGGCCATATTTTTTCCAAGTTGTGCTACTGAAGTCCTTCACCCTTTCATGCACCCTGGAACCTGATAACATGATAAACTGTCCGCTGCAGTAACCGCTGTCCCTGAAAGGGTTAATTTTCATGCATGAGGTCTGTGGGTACGGAAAAAAATTGCATCGCATCGTATCGTATCATATCGTATAATCTGGTTACAGTCTTCCTTGGCAGAGAAACGCAACGTGGATTTTGTTTTTGCGAACTCTGTCAGGATGTTTATGTGACAGTGCCTTTAAAAGTGGACCCCCGGTGCCTATTAAAATCCGCAGTTTATGAATACGGTCGTTTTTACATCCTATCTTTGAGAAAATACCAAACCTGGTTGGAGATTGATCATTTTTCTTGCAAAATGTTTTGCACGGTACGCGGTCCCCGTGGATTGGAGATCGAGTTCATGAATAAGTTGCGATGATTTCAGCACCATCTCCTTGTTTGACATATGGCGTACATGGCCTTATAATCTGGATGCCGCGGTGGCGCTGCTGGAAGAGCGTCAAACCGCTTTTCAAAAGCATCAGAAACAAGGACATATGGTAAGCGTTTTCCCGTTTAAAGTGTCATTTTAAACGACGTGGGCTTAAAACAGAAACATCCGTTTTGAAAAAACAGCTTTTATTTTCTCGCCCAGGCTCTTAAAGCTAATTTTTTTTTTTTTCCCCTAGTCCAAAAACGCTGCCATGTGAACAGCCCCTAAATGCGTTGCAAAAATATGCTCCGTGAGGGCCATGCCTGAGCGTAGGCGCCGTAGGCTCCAAACTGCAGGGCCATCGGGTTGAAAATGCCCATCTGACCGGCCATCTGCTGCATGCGGCGAATGGTGCGCTCCTTATCCGTGTCGGCGAACTTGACCACCAGACTGGATGAGGCACCCTGCGCATTCACAAACACACCCGAGCCGGGCAGTAGGTTAGTATGCACAGATGGACGAATGACATCACCTTGTGTCCCCTGTTGTACACCAAAGCCGAGATTTTCCTCCTCCCGTGCACAGCAATACACACACACAAAAAAAAAACAAAACGTGAAAAGTAGCGAGTGGGAGAGCAGCGAGTCTTTTCATTTTGCTTCGCCGAGCCAACCGGCTTCAAAGTTCAAACTTTGCTCCCTGATGTAGTTGGCACGGGTCAAAGCCAGGGGACAGACACTTCTCCCCCCGGAGGGATTAATAAAGTATAACTTTATAACTTTTAGGAGGTAATTAAGCTCGCTGCGATTCACCTCTGCCGTGACTCTTGCCACTCACATAAATCTACACGCTGTCACGCACGGCTACTCACAGGCATTGTCTGGCTGCCGTGTAGCGAACTGATGGCCGCCTGAGCTTCGGCATGAGACGAGTATTTTACAAATGCGCAGCCTAAAGAAAGAGAGAGAGAGAGAGAGAGAAAGAAGGGAGTTGCGAGAGAAGACAACGATCATGTTAAAGAGAAAGAGCTGAGGACAAACATCGTGCGCCGTTCACCACGTCACCGGCAGCGAGTGATTCATCCGCTGGACAAAGCAATCGGTGGATTGCGCTCAATAGGGGAGGGGCTCGACGCGGCCCTTTGACATCATTCACAATTTTTGCGATCCTCTGACGGGGGCTTGAAATGCCACGGCGACGGGACGCGGCTTAATATCGACGAGCCCCCCCCGTTGATGAATTTGAATGATCAAGTTGCCGCTAATTATTGAGCAACAGCCCATTTACGCCGGCTGATGGGAGTCTTGTTAATGGAGCGTCATGGAGGCATCAGAATGATCAAGCCCGCTGTAATCATCGGGCTTAGTTATCAACGGGGCGCAGTGTTGGCCGCTAAGCCCCCGCGATAACTTCAAGCGCTGTGACAACACTGCGAAAGGGCCATTTCGCTGGCACGATACGAGGCCCCCGTGGCTGATATGGAGCTCGACTTGGTTTGTCTTTTTCTCCGCGCAGAACGACTTATAAGGTTAATCGGGGGTTGCCTTGTGGACAAAGCGGCCTCACGACGTCGACGTTTGAAAGGTACGGAATCCACTCGGCGTTCAACCACTCGCGGACTAAAATAACTTTGCTTTGACGTGACGGAGCACCGCAAAGTCCCCGACTCTCAAAGGCCGAATCATTTTCTGCTCCGTCGTCGCCTGAGAAAAAACTCCGCCGACCCAAAGTCACGAATGGCGAGAAATTCACCTTTGCTGTTGCCATCCGGACCTCGCAGGATGGTGCACTCCTCGATGCCGCCGAAGGACTCGAAAAGGCGCCGCACGTCGTCTTCAGACTGTTGCTTGTTGAGCATGCCCACAAAGAGCTTTCTGTCTTCTAAAAGGGAGACGGAGTCGGTTACAATCCTCTTTTAGACTCTGGAATGAGTTGGAGTTGTAATTATTTGATGATGTCACCGTAGAGAATATCATTCCAAGAACTTAGTGGGCCACTTTGCGCTCACGTCGGTTGAAAATATCGTCACCGTTTTTTTGGGGGTGGTTCTTGACGTACATCTGTTCGACTTCCCTCAAGGAACTTCGAGTTTTTGTGCCGCCAAGTGTCAAAGACTGTTGGGGAGAGAGTTATTCCATCTGCGCAGGTTTTACATGGCAGCGTCGCTGAAAGCAGCTGCCTGCCGCCCGTGGAAATTGCGATGGCACCAAATCAATGATGAGGTTGAACCAGATCGAGGCTACGGCGGCATGTTTCAAACGCAAAAGCAAACAGCTGCAAGGAGTGTCAACGCGCCATGCATAGGCATTAGGGCGAGCAGATGTGTTTGTCCTCGGGTCAGGACGCGATTAACAATTAATTGAAATTCACGTTACGTTCCAAACGAGCCTTTCCGGGGGAATAATTTCAAGCCGGCAACGCATTACGGTGGTCAAATGTGCGCAGGCGGGATGCCCGCAACTGTTTGCTCTGAACGAGAGGTCAAGTTGCTCTGAGGAACAAAGACATGAGACGAACCGGTCTGCAAAACCTACACGAGGAAAGCCACCCCCACCCCCACACACACATGCCGACTCTTCTATAATCGGGGTCATTGAACAGAACGTGCCAGTCGACTAAAGACGGCTCGTCATCAAAACACGTATCGATTTGTGGTTTGACAAATCAAAATGGGGAATCTCGTGCGTTTCGTCTTGGGCGGGATCTTCACAAACGAATGCGTGTTGCGGGGGAGGCGGACGGTGAAAGTGCGCAGCAGCAGATGGGTTGAGCGTGGGGCCGTCTGTTCAAATGTTACATTGTAGAATCCCGGCTTTGTGGAAATGGATGTATACGTTGGGAAATTAATGAGCCTTGGCGCAATTGCCTCCGAGTGCGCCCTGCAAATTAACGTGCGCGGAGGTGCACGCGCGTGATTGTGCGCGCGTGCCGACGTGCTCACGGTCCGTTCCCCACAGCCTGCGCCTGACAGGGTGTCCTTGCCGAGTCAACAAGACTAATCTGAGCTCTGGCCTTGCACTGGGGGGGTGGATGGGTGGCGCGGGGGGGGGGGGGTTTACAAGCGCGGGGCGTGCAAGATGCACGTACTATGCACACGTATCCGTATACGCACACACGACACGCATCCATTGATGGCCAAAGCCGTCGGTTCCCCAGGGAAGGCACCAATAAACATGACATCTTTCTTTGGGAAAGGGCTATTAACACACACGCACACACATTTACGCACACGTATTGGGCCGGAGAGCAAATCAATATACAGCGGGAAGACTTAAGAGTCTCGATGCAAAGCTCTCCGTCTCCCTCTCTCTCTTTGGAGCACACCAACTCGGTTAGGCATGACAACGACTTTCATTTCTTTACGTCTTAGTTACACCTGGCGGAAGGATGACCGACATTGCCAAACGGCCGTAAAAGAGTTTGAACCAGGATGACGGAAGCAACAATCGGATATCTTCGATTGCCTTCTTTCATGACCTGCATACCGTCGACGTTTTGGAGGGAAAATGGTGTCTGAACGCCGTTGTTAGCTAGCCCTTTGCTTGTTTGCTAGTTGGTGAACCTTGGTTGAGAATGCGCAAGACCGCATGTCTCCCTGGGAAGAAAAGTCTGGCATCGAGAGTCCTAAACAAAAGAAATACAGAAGGGAAATCGCTGAAGAGGATTCAAAGTAGGGCCGAAGATCAGCACCGAGGTGTACGAGCACGCCCTTCAGCTCCGCCAGTCCTCAACTTTAAAGAGGCGACAAATGAAACGGCCGACCATGTCCAACAATGTTTTTCCAATCCATCACATGCTCTAATTCTTCCCTTTTGTCTCCTTGTTTTGTTCTCTCATAAATCATTTATCCGCAACAACCGCAAAGCCGTCTTGCTCTCGTTTGATATTAAAGCGCGGGTCGCTGCCTTTTTCAAATGTCGAAAATGTCACCAAATACCAAATTAAACGCTCGTTGGCTTGATGTGAAGAAACACGATTTGGCAAACGGTTCTCGCAAACGGCACCGCGTCGGGACCAAAACAAGGGACAGGTGCCCCCCCCCC